CCCCCCGCTCCCGGTGTTAGCTGGATGTTGGAAAGCCGCAGGGGAGAAACATAGATGGAGGGGAGCAAGTAACAGCGCAACAGCGGAGGCGTTGTGCTGTCACCCAAGTTTGCCTGAATCTACCCAGGAGTAGCGTCAATAGTAAATTTGGAAACATTGCAAAGCATAGCCGAAGCAAGGGGCTAAGGAACAGCAAGGGAACAGGGAAAAAACCATGAAGACTTGTGGAAGGAATCAAGGAGACTATGCTAAAGAACTAATACATAACCAAAGCATATTTAAGTCATATCTTGCCAATTACATTTTGCTAATTCAACCTAAGCCCTGATCTGAATCGGCATGCAGCAGCATAACACCCTCAGCTGTCACAGTAGTTTTCAGCTGATGTCCTCCTTAGAAATCCTTTGAGCATGGAAATGAGAAAGGTTTTTTTTTTTTTTTTCAGGGCAGCTTCAGAATTTTTAGGTTTATGCAGAGCTTTCTCAAATACAGCTATTTTCTCCTCTTGGTAATGCCTTTATATCAGAGAAGCTGTGAAAAACTACTTTTGACAGTTGCTTAGGTTCACACTGACGAGAAGATTTAGCTTTAACTTATGGTCAGATGTAAAATAGAAACATGAGATTTTAGCTCATAACTTGGAACTATCTGAAGCATTTTACACGACCTTCCATATCGGCAACTGATACATTTTATAGATACACCCCAAAATAAAGTACATAATAAAGCCTGAATTAACTCAGGTTTATTTTCTTTTATAGAGAGAAATTTTCTGTAATCCCAAAGGCAAAGACATGCATCTATGATGATGACACATTTTACAGGAAAGCATACAGTTAGTTGGCAAATCTCATAAAGAATAATACTTATCTTGCAGTAGTGTTTCACAGAGTGGCTAGTTTATTCTGTGATTCATTCTATGATGTCCATGTGGCAAGAGCTTAGAGGGATGAAGTAATTGGGAGGATTTGTATTAACGTATTGCTATTGCAATTTAGCAACTGGAATGTGTAAGAGACTTTACAAACAGCTGGTTTCTACAGACCACCAAAAAGTATTCTTAGACACAAACTACCTTGTGTGTCACCATTTTAAAATCTGACTTCTAGTACATTTTCTTTATGCAGTTGTATAAAGGTCTATCACTGTATTGACATAAATCCTCTTAATTTGTAGTGGTTACACATGGAGCACGAGCTAAGCTTGAGGAAACTAGTTGAGGGTTCAGAGTATCAGGAACAACTGAACTACGACTTCAATATAAAAGGGGAATTGAGGCATCTGGACACCAATGAGTCCTTTGTTTTCAATTATTACAAGAATGCACACGAGAGGAATCATAAACGCTATCAAGTATTGGGACATCTGCTTACCCAATATGTTTATGAGCTCCTGGAAAGAGTCTGCATGCTGCAGAAAGTCTATATTCCTACTGATGCTACAGAGGATGAACCAAGAAGTTTCTTTTTCATGAGTGAGAAAGCACTAACAAATACCTCTAGCCTCATTGTCCTTCTTCAAGACCGTGGGGTGTTTCGCGCTGGACAGTGGGGTCAAAAGACCACTATCAGTGAGGGCCTGGACCATGGAACGCAAATACCGTTCATCAAAATGGCCCTTCAAAGCCAAGGGGAAGTGATTGTACTGAATCCTAATGACAACCTCATGGATCTGAAGACAGAAAAGGAGAGGTTAAGCATTGCTACCAGGGAAGAATCATCATCTTCTATGCAGTCCCCATGGTCGATCCCCAAGAGGTGCAGCAGTAGCCCTGAGGAGCATACCATGTATGTATGGGATCAATTTATTTCAAAGAGTGCAGCCAAGAATGTGGCCTTCATTGCCCATGGCTATGGTGGCTTGGTGTTCATTGATCTGCTCATGCAGAGAAGATGGGAGGTAATGAATAAAGTGTACTCTGTGGCGTTCATCGACTCCATGCACAACACACAGCACCAGACTAGAAGCGATCCACAAATACAAGAATGGATACACAAATATTGCCGCGAGTGGGTATCAAACAGTAAGCCTCTAGATAAACCCGTGGGTTCCCTTGTGAAAGTGAATTGTCCTACTGTCTCTGCTGGAACTGAGAAGTATGGCTTAGCACCTTCCTACTGCTTACATGCCATCTTTAAATACCTGAAGAGTGCACTGAAGGCCAAGACTGCAACAGCCTTTACACGTTCACCTATCGCAACCCGAAGCAGCACAAGTAAGAAGAAAGATAATAAATAAAAGCATACTGATGTGTTTTTCATGGTGGTCTCTTCCTTTCATAATCACTCCTGCATCTTTCAAGCTTTCAGTCTTCTAAGAACCTTCCTCTTGCTGTGGAGTGATTTATTGTTTTAAACTTGAAGATAGTTTGCTTTTGAGAAACAAACAAATACAAGTAAATATTAAGAAAGAGCTGCACAGTTGTAAGCTTTACACCACAACTCTTCAGCTAGCTGTGAAATTTCAAGTTGTGCAAAATAAAGATTGAAGGTATATCAGCTCTTATCGGTATCATTTTTTAAATAGGTAGTCTGCAATCACGGCTCTACAAAGAGACTAATCTGTGGTCAAAACCTCAGATTTCTTAAACACATAGCTTTCATTAAAAGGACAAATCTGGAGTATAGAAAGCATGCAGAGGATATGGCATTTTGAATTATCCTTTTGCCTACAGCAAGGTTACTCCTTATTATATACTGTCTAGTGTTTGAAATCTTTCAAAAGCTGGGACATCTACCTACACCCTTAAAACATTTAAGTAGAAAGATACTTCACGGAATTACGTATCAACACCTCTCTCCAGTCAGAGAGGCTATGTTGCAAACATGACACAGTGAGCCAACATAATTCCATTTAAAAACCAACTAAGCCATTGACATTACCATGCATTTTTTTCAAAGTCAGTTGGTACAGAAATGCTAGACTCTAGCAACCTGGGATTACCAAACTGACCAAAAAGAATGGCATTGGCTGTTTTCTCTCAACTGTTTTGTCTTAGATAGAAGTGGGAAATAGAGACAGTTTTTAAATGTCCATATGCAAGTTCTGCAATTTATGCAAGAAGAAGCTCAAATAACATTTATATGAAAAGTAAACAAAATGGCTATTCTGAATTTCCTGTTTAATCCTGTGAGAATTAAAAGCACACGGTGTCTGGAAAAGAGCTTTGAAAGATGACAGAACCTTGCATTTATCTATAGCTTCGCTTCCCATCTCCGTCAAAAAAAACTGTTGAACAGTAATGCTGGGTACTAGAGGACAGAGAATGACAGCTTCTCTTTTGCATTTAATTCCATTTCAGATTTAGTCATCTCTGATACTGTTCGAAAAAGCTTCCATCCGTTTATTCAGTAATGGATAGAAGTGTAAAATTCCATTAGAAAGAAACAGTCACTTAAATGTTCTCAATAGAAATGTTTAAATAAAGATTGGTTGACTGGTATCACACTTGAATAAAAATGGTACTAAATAGACAATTAACAGAAGTGTACAATGATTTCACTTAAGAAAGTTGCATTGGAGATGCTGTCACTGTGGATGCATGCAACCTGTCTGTTTTATGACTGCTGGTTAGTGGGCTCGCTGCTCAAAGAATACTCACTTGCATCAATTCCACACGTCAACACATAGCTTTATTTATTCGAGAAGTATTAAACTGACAGAATATCTGTCTTCAGGAGGAGATCAATATGATCCTTCAACATAAACACTCAAACTGTTCCATGGTGTCAGAGGTGGCTAAGACGCTCGAAGAAAAATAGAATCTCGAACATCTGCCATTTCAGTAATCCTTTACCTCAGACCAACCCATTAAATTCCTTGGTAGAGAAGGTCATATTTAGGAATATTATTGGGATCGATAGGACTTCTCACAATGAGCTTTCCACGCATTGCCCCACGATAAATCACTTCAATCAGATCTATAAAGTCTTGCTTTGTTTTGAAGCTTCCTACAAATTTAGTGTGATCTGGAGACCTAAATACAAGCATAAGATAAAGGTAGAATTATAATGTTGATGTGTTCAAAGGAAAAACACTTAAGACACTCAAAGATGTAAAATAAATTGAAGGATTCAGATTAGGTCATTCTGAAGGCATGACCTACACTGGTATGGCATACTTAAGTCAGGCATATACTTTGACCTGACCTCCAAACCCCAAAAGATGCAGTGTCATTTCAAAGACTTTAGCCACAGTATTTTAAGCATGTTTTGCAGCTGACACCTACTTATTGCAGAAAACTCGGGAGTATTTCAAAATACCTGTTAATTTTATGGCCCTCTGCCCTCCCGCACAGTTCCCAGAACGAGTGCAGATGCTGGCGACGACATTACCTCCCCCAGGCAAGGTACCATAGAGAGAGACCATGTTAATTACAACAGGATAGTAGGTGATAGTTACTACAGACATCGTAGATGATGTCAAGTAGGATGACGTACCCATAATCAACCTTCATGTGCTGTCCATTGAAGAAAAAGACAGTAGATGGAATATAACTGATGTCAAAATACTGGGTGTACACAGGCACCTTGTTCACATCCACCAGGTAAATGACTGCCATTTTACTTAGGTCATGAGATGTCTTTGCAAGCTGAAGAGAGTGAGACAGACAGATGATGAATGGATCGAGAAACAAGAGGAAGAATGCAGCAAGCCTTAAAAACCTTCTTTCCCTTAAGTCTTATCAGTTGGAGCAGAGCCAAATTATTACCAAATTACCACACCATGTCGAGAACTACGTCAATGGCTCTGTACACCTACAATAGTACAGAAGTCTGTTATATCGTTTTACGCTTAACTGTCACCATGCAAACACCATATACTTACCATGAGACTCCATATTATCCAAAAAGCAACATATGACATTCTCTTGTATACAACAGGTATAATAATAGAACTAAAAACAAAAAAAAAGAAGTTGTAATTAAGAAAAACGTGCTCTTACAATATCATCCAGCTGCAGACAAACGGGATCGTTATCCCTTCCAAACCGAAGAACCAAAACTTTCTCCGCCACGCTTTTTATTGCCTGATCCACCTCCTTCTTACAGGTCAGCTGGGGCAGCAGAAAACTCATCCTGACAGGCCACGGCTCCGACGACCAACCGCACCTAACGGTTAGACGGACCCGCATCAAAATCAGCATCGCTTCTCCAAGCAGAGCCCCCCTCCCCTCC